CTTGTAGACGGGCGTCACATTGGCAAGCCAACACAGGAAGCACTTCTGCTTGAATGTGGCAACAACCAGCTTTGAAGGCAAAATGCAGGACTGGCGCAGGTCTGTCCCTGAAAAATAAATCTGTTATGCAACAGAGCTGGCATCCAGCCATCCACAAAGAAAACAAGTGGCAGCTCCGATGGGAGATAATAGGCAGCAGGCCCATTACTTGTGACGGTACAAAAGCCACTGAAGCAGATGTGATCTTCCCTGCCAGGTGATCTCACCATGAACAGTTTCTGCTTACCAGTTTGTCAGCAGCCTTCTTCAGAGGACACCCAGTACTGAGTGGCTTGCAGAAATTTTCTACAAGAGGCTAAAGAGATACTTGACCCCAGGGACATAACCAAATGAGGTGCAATTGCTGCCATTTGTGTGTTCTGCCCTCAGATAGGGAGACTATTATTAGCAAGTAAGTTACTGAAGAACTAGTTTCTCAAACAAAACTGAGGAGAGGGAGAGCTGATAAAAGGCAACCTGAATGTGTAACTACTGCTAAGAAAAATATACATATCCATATACACATATATATACTTTCACTGTAGTTCTGTGTGTGGATTGAAGTGCTAAGTGACGGAGAACTGCAGTCTTGAAAAATTGTGGGACCTCACCAACCTGTGCTACTGGTCTCTGGTAGTTTTAAACTTTGTTGGAATGCATCCAGTGGCGAATGGGAAACATGCATCACCTAGTAGGATGTCTACATGAGAAATTGCTCTGAACTTAGCAATCAGATAGAAGGCATAATCTGCAAAACTGGCTGCAAGGGGTTTGGGAGTGGGTTCTATTCTACCTGACAGATAACAAAAGTTAATAATCAAGTTGCAATTTCAGGGGGGAAAACCTGATAACATCTGACAGCTATCTAAACATGGGATACAGAACATATTTGCACTATGTTAAAACAGTGTAGTGAGATCTCCCTGAATAGAAAAAGTAAATGAAGGCACAAAAAGAACAAAGATGAAAAAACTGGAAATAGTTTATTTGCTGCATAAGGAAACTTCTTGTAAATTACATATAAAGTAACTTGTTATGCTGTAGTATATAATTTTCAATATTCCACAAAGATAATTGTAATAAATATACAAACCAAAACAAAGTAGAAGACTAAATCCATCACGCAACCTACAAAATGGTTCATCAAGTTTTACACTTTGCAGCATTAGCATGCTTAAAATCTTGTTGTTCATTTTGAAGTGCTGCAGCAAAATTCTTTTCACATTTCTTTGGAGCATTTTTAAAACCATCTAACTATTAAATACTGTTCAAAATTAGCAGGAATTAATTAAATCACCCAAGAAAAGTAACACCAAGATGTAACTGATGCAAGGTGTGACTTTTCCTTCTGCTTTTAAAATTGTTTTTAGTTTTGGGAGGGTTAGGAATTGTCTGATACAAGTGCACTATGAGTCCAGTAAGCCTGAGGCACTGCTGACTCTTGTCATGACTCTACATAAACTTCATAGATTATATAGCTCTGGAAGATTTCTCTATTAGACACATGTCCACTAACAGGCATAATAGTGAATAGTGAAGCCGCAAGCTAGGTAGAATGGTTTTACCCTCAAGTGCAGTGTGTGCTTAGAAACCTTTTTTCCAGAGTTTCATACTATATACCACATCAGGCGTTTTTATCTGACTTTAAATTTAGAAGTGCTGCTAAAGGATTTGCTGATGCCCTTAGCCTCTAGAAATAACATGCATTAATTTTTGACATCTTTTGCTGTTCTCTGCCTATCTTTTCTACATTTTTTGGAAACATTAGGCTGAATTGCATTTTACACTTCACTGCTCTGGACCACACTGACAGACAGGTCTGTTATTCTGTACAGATCTTTTACAAACTGAAAGCATTTCACTATTACTCAGTACTTGGGGGGGTTATAAAAAGAAACTCTCCAAAACACGGTTACCTAAAAATATTTGTTAATAAGCTTAATGCAAACATTATGTAGAAAAAATGGTTTAGTTACAAAAAAATTCATTAGAGGGCCAATAAAAATATACTGAAGAAAAGATCTTTACAAAAGTGAGGTTAGGAAGTATGAGGCATTGACATTCACTGTAAACATCTTGTGTTCACTAGAATCCCTTATCTAAAGTATATGTTCTGGTTTTGTTCCTGAGCTTCACTGTATGGCCAACACTTGCATAGATAGCTAAACCTATCATAAAGGATTGTTTATACAGACATTTCTGTACTGCTTGTACAGAACTTCAATAAACTAATGATTTTACCTTTTGAAATAGTTTCATTCCACTACCAGGCAGTTCAAGGAAACTATGAAGCATGGTATGATTTTTGTATACTCAGTGCATTGGATGGGTTGGCACAGCTACCTTACCGTGTGTTAAACAATATCACACTAAGAAGCGTAGCTGTTTGATGTTCCGGCTTAGCATAAATATCTACTTCTGCTCACTGCTGCAAGGCTCACTTCTGCTCTGCCAAAGACTGAGTATGGCAAAATGTCGGGAATCTGAGTGCTACAATGTCAAGCAACTAAGTTACTCCCTGGTAAAAGATGCAGCTTATAAACAGTACACAAGACCTTACGGAGAATTTCACCTTTACCCAGGCAACATACATGCTTTTCTCTAGACTAATGTCCCTCTACCAAAGGAAGCTAGAAAGTACCTTCAGGGTAAACATGACATGGAGTGGTTAAGATAAAAAGTCTGAAGAACATACTTGCATTTTGGATATGAAAAGCAGGCATGTATTTAGTTGCTGTACACGCAAGTGCACATGGGAAGTGGTAAAGACAGACAAACAAAGCCACCTCACAAAGAGCACAATAACACAAAAGCAGCAAATTGCCAATTTTAAATCTTATGTTAAGGCAAATCTAGATAAACACCCATAACAGAATTAATAAAAACAGGGAGTTTTCCATGGCTTTTTTGTTTACTTTTTCTGTGACTGGCTTTTACACATCGATAAAATTTGTTTAAGCACTTTCTGGACATCTTCATCCATTTGACCCTAGACGAGGGGAGACAGAAGAAAAGATGACTGAATTCAAGCATTTCTCTACTCTTTAAGAAGATTTACAAACTATTTTTGAGGTATAGTAATTAGATCAATTTCCCGAAAGGAAGCAGTGTTAAATTTGTGCTTAATCAGTCATACCTTTTGAGTAGGATGTCTTAGACAAAACATGCAAAGGTTCTTACTACATCTGCAGAAGAAACATCTTTCATTAAAATACCAACACTGTGTAACTGACAATACACAACCATACCTGCACAGCATAGAGAAGATGCATCCTGTAAACTGAGACAATTTCCTGATGTTGTTTCTTTGTTTCCTAGAAAATAGTTAAGCAGAAAGTCACAGAGCATTCAGAACTGCTGAATTCAGAACTCCCCAACTAGATTTAGAGATCTTTAGGGAATTACAAACCAAAGTCTTAAGGATGCATGGAAAACCAGCTCAGACAGTACTGTGCCACTAGCCATCCAAAACATAATTTGCTTGGAAGCATGGTCCACAGAAATGCTGTAATTCTACCCAACCCAGTAAAAAAAGCTGGTGAGATTACATCAGTTGCAAGAAGTGCTGAGGTGCAGAGATGTGGGATGAGCACATACTCTACTTCTGAGCTTATCAAGCAACCAGAATTAAAGAAAGGCAATAATATTCTGAAAAACAACTCTCAGCTGCAGCTGAGCTCTTTCCTGAAGTCAGTGACCCATCTGGTCAGCTAATACCTTCTCAATGAAGAGGAGGTGCTTACAAAGGTCTTCACCCATGAAATCCTCAGTTAATTACTATACATTCAAACAAGAAAAGCCAACCTCCTTTTTCACGATCACAGACTGCCACATCCTGGAAGTCATCTTTCCAAATAAACATGAAGCTGATAGGAAAGCTAGCCTATGAGAAGGAAAGAG